TATACCAAGCTGGGGCTTCAGGACATTGCGGCGTTACTTAAATAGGTACGGGAAGTGAACAAGAGAACATCTGGAGGCATGAGGCAGCTAATGGGGGGAGGAAGGTAATTGAGATTGATACTTAAAGGGGTTATCGGTTAGGAGGGTTTTTGTACGCGTGTCGGGGTGAAGGACGTTTGGGTAGTTGCGTCAGGAATACTTGGGGAGGTGTCTGGTGGTCCTTGGGGAGGTGCAGAGGACATACAAGAGGTGGGTAGGACGTATGGCAACGTGTGGCGGGTACTGGGACTGGTCTGGTTGTAGCCAGGGCATGACAGTTTCCCATGTGTTCGCATGAATTCAAGGTTGGCTGAAAAGCTAGCATGCCTACTATTGACCCAACATGTCAAACAGCAAAGTGCAGGAAGAACCCATTTACGGCGAATGTGTTCTAGCCAGTAACATTTCAAATCATGCTGAAAATATTGCAGTGGAGGAAACAGCAACGACAAAAAATTCGGGGTGCTAAGTTCCATGGCACGTTGAATGCGACATCACATTGGCGCGGAGTTGCATGCATATAGATTGAGAGACACAAGATGTTCAGCAAACGGATGTATAAAATTGGTAGAAGAGTGAGAGTCATTGCTGTGGATCGTTATATGCGTCAAAGGAATACTGGAAAATGCGGGAAGAATACGGGGAAAGTGCGTGGGATGAATGTGTATGAACCATGACGAAAGTCGAGTAAGCTTGGGGCAAGTGCTTGCCAAAGATCCCAGGGCACCGTCAAATGTCTCAGCATCATCTGGTGGAACAAAACAGCCAATGTCAATGGAAACAAGCTTTAAAGCTAGGTGGGGTCTGCTCTGCAATGTCCAAAGCAAGGAAAACAACTGTTGCATCCAATAGATTACAACATCCGTGTACAAGAATTCAATGCCAGCTTCGTACCAGTCACGGCAAACAGTGATTAATCGTTTTGATGTCAGGACGTTGAGCGACCACACAGAATGAGTGCATCTGACTGGTACCATGATCATGCTTGGAGCCACTGTGTACTGAAATATGAGATGAAGGAGTTCCCAAGGTAGAGACTGAGCCTATTGTAGAAGGATTTTGCCCAAGATTCAGCAATTTGCAATAGTGACTATACACCGCTTTGCATTTTATATTCTCCCTCCCAAGCTCTTCAAACTCTTCCTGCAGAAGCTCATTATCATCTTGTAATTGTTCCACATCCCCCTCATAACTTTCCTCTTGCAATAAAGAGATCAATTTTTCATCTGACAGGAGAGCCATCACAGGAGATTGAGCATAGATAGAAGTACAGAATCAGTAGTCATTAAGCGCTTAACTGATGCTTAGATAGACAGTCCCAGTCAGTTTGATGTGTAGAGTCGCCCTGACTTTACTTGTGTCAGATTTCTATATACAGTAATTGATCTCTTGCGTGACAATGGATGTCAGCAGCTATTCGGCAAGATATTGAAGCGCCCCATAGCACCCATTTGGCCCTTCTTCAAATTGTGTCCCGACATCCCGCCCCATCCCACTCCCATCCTGCTCCATCCCACTCCCATCCTGCTCCATCCCACTCCTATCCTGCTCTCATCCCACTCCATGCGGTGACATGCCTAAATTTTGGCTAGATGTCTATGCGGTGAATTGTGACATTTTCACGTATAGATTCATATCGAGAGGACTGTAATTGAGACCCAGATTGACAGTCAAAGTCAATACTGAATCAGTCTAATAAGTTGAAGGGACCATATACCCATACTACCACAAGCTGGTTAGTTTACCCATCCCCGATACTACCTTCGGATAGCAGTCTACCTGTTTGTCAAGCAGGATTATACCAGACTCGGACTACATCCGAAGGATGACCATTCACATATGACATACCAAGGGTATTCTTATTGGACCTTACACTGGCAGAAGTTTGGAAGAACTTACTCAAGTGACCATGAGCCGAGGATTGACTCAAAATGACTTTCTAGAACTCAGGAATTATCAAATACTCCTTCTAGAACGAGATCATGCATTAATCTAAAAGACTGTGATTTAGTCTAATAGACCAATCAAGTTGCATGGTTGAGGAAAATGACTAGAAGAGCGATCGAAGTACTGCGAGGCTCCGAAGACATATCAAATGAATGTCAAAGAGTCCTGACGTAGAAAATATTGAAGAATGCAATTAAATGAATACTATGCGTAACTCCCTTGATAGAGTATAGGCACAATGGGTGTCTATTGAAAGAGAGAAGCAATTAGTTTAATCCAGATGAATCAGATTGATAGGATTAGAATCGAGGAGAGCTGATTTGCCTCCAGACCAGGTGACAAATGATCGAAGTAAGTGTTGAACAGCAGTGACAGCTGAACACCATTTGAGTCATTCTCTAAAAACAATTAAATTAAATGAATATCGAAGTACCTACCTATGTTTGGAGGTATACTTGAATCTTGGAACCATTATGGACCAAATAAGGACATGTGGATTCAAATTAAATGGTATCTGACTGGTTGTAGAAGTTCCCTTGCGGTTCCAAACGTTTATTGTATTAAATTAATTGTATTGTGCGACTCTATATTCTGTATGTATAAATAGCGATCCGATGTATCTGGAATACAAGTGATTTTGGGACGATGTTGCAGTGCTAATCCGTAAAAAGGAAAGACACACTCCCGCCAGACTGAAACCTCTTTGCTAGCAGCCATTTGGGCCCGGCACTTGTGAGTATAGGAACGTTGTGTTCTGCTCCTTGTGACTGCGAGAAGTATATCTAGTTGTTGGGTATTCTTCGAACTTAGGATCAGTTGTTGGTCTTAAGGGCAAATCACGCTGTGTGGTTGTGCCAGCACATAGTTCTAGCCCTCTGTAGGGGTCTGTGTGTTTCGGTTTTAATTTACTTTGATTCAAACCCCCAATTCTTGATATACCCATATCAATACAATCAAAGCACAAATCGTGCTGAATCTACCTTAATCAAAGGAATATACTGAATCCTTAGAACGATTCAAATTGATTGATCGAAGCTTCTTACTTAGCTCTCAAAGCTTTGCAGAACCTTTGCCAACGCTACCCCTTGCTATTAAATAAATTTGATAGCAGTGAACTTGCATATTGTGTATTAGATTGGTTGGTTGGAGTGCCCATTAGATTCCTTCCTTTCTCTTTCACACAAAAACGAGGCAAGCTCGTTAGCGGTGCACAATGTGCACACTGAAAACCTGTCATTTTAACACATTTTATTTTTAGTACTGTACCACCTATCTAAATACACCATAATGAAAACTGAACATTGTCAACATAAAGGAACTGAACACTACTGAACACCTCTGAGCAAGCTGGTAAGGTGATGATGGGTTGGGGGAACAGTGATGGGAATGAACCATCATCATAGCAAGCAGTCTGTCACATCTTGTCACAATTACCTCACATTTTTGTAAGTGATCAATTACTGTATATAGAAATCTGACACAAGTAAAGTCACGGTGACTCTACACATCAAACTGACTCTAAGTAACATGCATCCGCATGTGAGCCTCCTTCATCCGTTCCAAGTACGTCTCACATGTGGTGCTCGCTTTGAAATTCTAGTTTCGAGGGGTGTCGGTGCTGGCGCGCCTCCGTAAAATAATTATCAAGACACTGTAATGATTGCACAAGGATTGTATACTGAGCAACTAAGAATGTACAAGGTAATGGAAGATAGACAGTCGCGACTGAATTCAATGACGAGGGATTTACTATTGCTCACTGAGAAGTGGGTCATGATAGCAATAAACATGAATGTCATTAGAAAGGCTTGCATACCTTGACTTGAGATATGAAAAATATATTGAGCAGATATTGTAGAAACAAATTGAGCCATATACTTGTGTCAGTAGGAGCAGAAACCGTCATGCAGTGAATTAATTATGGAAGCAGGGTCCAAATCAGGAAATCATCAGGAAGTGGGTCACCCATTGGGAACAGACTCCAAAGGTCATCCAATATTCAATTAACCCCAATTCATGCTCAATATAGGTGCATTTAATGCTAGGACTATATATTATGTGTTTGTGTAGACAAGGAGTCGAAGAAAAATATAACCCCCCAAGTGCTTGTGTCAAAAGTTAACCCATCAAGTTTATGCTGAATATGGTCGGCAACCCACTCGAAGTCATTCTATGGAAGGGAAGCATAAAATCAGTATGAAAGATAAGTTTGAGAGATATTGCAACACACTTGAAGCGCTAAGATGACCAAGAAACCCAAACTTCGAAGCACAGAGAATAATACAGTTGGATAGCCCATTGAGGGATTTTCAGTGCGGCGGCCACGGTCCCAAGGTAGCAAAAATTTTTTCAAAATTTCCTGGTTAGACATAGGAGGTCTGAGTATTGTATCCATCGTTTGCTCGAAATTTGAGAAGATTCAAGAGCCTCGTTTGGGAGATATGGCGGCTGCTTTTTTGAGGTGCCCGAAAAATGATGAATGTTTTGCCGAGCCATTCTAGGTGACCATGAAAGGACAAAGAGATATCATAAGGAAAGGCAATATGCTTGTTAGGTGTTTCTGAAGCGATATGATGAATTTTGAATGTTGGAACAGGATAGCGGCTGAATGAAGTGTCGATCTCAGCTAGGAGGGGGGAGAGAAATAGGAAAATTATGTAATTCGGCTGACCTCTCCGAACAATTTATCCACTGTTTCTCATTCCACTCCTTGTTTACATTGGATTTGTGCTGAGCGCATTGTTCGATGCTACTTCACATGACATACATCAAAGTTACTGGCCAAGATATGGATTACAGCCTAGAACTACCAAATGACCCACATCCCAGTGTGACCCACTTCTAGGGGGCCAATAGTACATTGTACCACTGAACCTCAAGTGTGCAGATCAATCAAAAGTGTTGTCAAATGAGAAAAGTTGTAGATAACAAGTTCCTGCCAACAGATGGAGTTAAGGACACAAGTCTGTAGATTAGAACATGAGGCATATATGGATGAAAGCTTGTTCTGTCCTTCAGAAATATGATAGCGGTGATAAATGTGTTTCTAGGTGAACAAGATTTGGAAATGACACTTGGAGGTCATCGGGAGCTACATTCCCAATATTGAGAAAGCCGAGTCTCTTATGAGCTTGTGGATACCAATTTTGAAGTTCAATGCCCAGAACCACATGATGCCATTGGACACGATGGTCAAGTAGTACGTCGAGGAGTAGTACTATTTCTGAATAGTAAGAATAACTAAAATCCACGATGAGAAACTTGAGCAGCTCATCTCTTGAGCGAGATATATATTGTGGAGCAATTTTCATGAACTTGTTAATCTGGTCCTCAGCTTGTGAGTCCTCAGCAACGGGGCCAAGGTACAATGAGGACCAGAAAGTGGGTTGCGATAGCAAAATTTGATGCCAGTAAGAGCACACCCAGCTAAGCCTCATAGTTGGGCATGAAATCTGACAGTGCCACTGGTCATCGTGATCCCACGCCAGACTCAATGCATTTTCATCTCGACGGGAATTCCGAGAAGGAAAGATGTAGAAATTAAACACCTTCAATAAGATTTCTGGAGGAAGATTGCGGATGGGGGAGTATATGAGGGTTTGTGAGCAGCTAACCGCCTCTCCAGTCATATTTTCTCCTTCCGTGAGTGTTTCGAGGACACAACGCGCGCGCGCAAGGGCCTTTTCGACTGATTGGAGGATAAGGTAAGCATCCTGCGAGAATTCCTTCAGATCCGACGTCGAAGAAGGGATGAAGCCGGATCGGAGCTGATCTAATGCGTTTTTCCGCAAACCATCTACGAACTCTCCTTGTTTCTCAATCACATCGAGTGGAATCGAGCGAAGGTTTGTAGAAAGATTATCGAGAGACGCAGCAAGGGTTTGAATTTTATGGTTCATACTGGCAGTCTTGAGTCAATGAGGAGCACCAAATGATTGGATAAATACCTGGAGACTCAAAAAATCAATGGCCATGGAGATGATGCTCGTTTCGAAGCAAACAAGACACGTGCATCGCTGCAAGAAAAACATGTACACCGTTGGTACACACGGTTTAAGACACCGTTATCACGGTCCTTCATCTGGACCACTCAACGGTCGCAGAAGAGGTATCATATTTTAGTTGAGAAAAATGAGCAACCTGAAATAGCCTCAAATTCAACAAACAAAATTCAGCTACTGATAATGTCCCAACATCCCGAATCCTAAGCCGAAACAATATTCACAGTCACAGTGGCGACGTCAGTCGAGGGGAAGTATACCGGAACAGCCTGCAATTCAAAAAGAAGAAACGGAAACGTAGAACGAAAATCAACTCTTCCGCAAATCTGGAAGAAACGATAAAACGTACCGATTCACCCCAGTACGAATGCAAAACTCCCAATGTATAACTCCCACTTTCAGCCTCAGCAGGGACTGTGACAGTGAAATTCTGGAAAGCATAGCTTCCCGGGTCGTAGTTGACAGGGGAGCTGGGTCGTTGGGGGTCAAATGCACCAGTATAGAGGAGATATAACACGGATGTGTCGGGTGTAGGGCAGGAAGTTTCGGTACAGGGGCTCAGGCCAATACTGAGACTGGTTTCCTTGATGGGGGTCGCATAGGACTAAAAGTTGGATAGAATCAGTGAGAAGTAAGTGTGATGCTTCGATGACGATGATCAGGCTCACAGAATCTTGGACCATGACAGTAACCTCTGATCCAGCGGTGAGAGTCGTCCCCTCCGCGGGGATCCAGATGACTGGATTTCCGAGAGCTACACGGGTGTTGACGAGAGCACCAAGTGCCATTGAGTACGAGATGGAGCGGAGGATGTTCTTCATTGTGACTTTTAGTAGGGCTGGGGGTTCGGGGAATGTAAGCAGTGATTTAGAGAACTGATAAGAGACCTGGGAAAAGGTGAGACTTTTTATACGTGTTCCCTCGACTCGCTCTGCTCTTGCTTAACCATCTAACGCTTTCCCAATTCAATAGATACTGACATCTCCGTTCGAGACCATAGCGAAGGCCGAAAGAAAGGTGAACAGATTCGCGGCTACTAGATACCATTGCACACTGCGTAAGCACTTGGGTGTACCTGCAAGGCACGTACGGGCTGGTGGTTTAGTATGCAAACGGCGAGAAAAGCCCTCGCCCCTTCCCCTTCTATCATGCATTTACAGGCGACGTCGCAAATGACCTGACTCTAGCTTTGACAAGAGTCCAGGAATAATTGGAGGTATGACCGCGCTTGAAGGTCGGATATTCAAAAATACCGAACCAACTCGACAAAGAGGTGCGGTGACAACAGCCCGACAGTCCTTAAGGCTTCAAAGCTTCAACCATTCTGATTCCTCAGAAGGGTGAGTCGGTAGAGAAAACCTCAAGCAAAAGATAAAGCTCTGGAGGGTCATCGCGTAGCATTCAATATAATGCGGTTAAGGATCCTATCCAAGCGGGGTCTATGATCGGAGGCCGCTGCCTGGTGTGGTGATTCGTCGCTTCAGGAAGTGTACTTTTGCAAGCCACAATAGAAAAATCATTCACGCATAGCAATACGTAGTGTCGGATAGGATGATGAGGAGGTGTAAAGTGGTTTGTTCACGTGCGATTCAGCACACAGTCTAACCGCTCCTATTACGTCTCCTGTCCGGACGGTCGACGCCTGCGTGTCTTTTTCGAGTTTTTACAACCTCGACGCTGACGTTGAAGTTTGGCATGTATGCTGCGTAATGAAGGGCTGAGTAAAAAGCGAGGACCATTGCATTCCTCACAAGCAATATCGATTGATACAGTTCTCCTGGCCACACTTGCCTCTTTCTACCATTGTACCAAACGCAAATGCTTGTCGAATGCTCGGGAACAAACAAGAATCATTGATGTGTTCGTGCCAGGTATTCTCAGTCGAATTAGTCCAAGAAGGCCTCAGAAGAAAGGCGACAACACACAGAAGGAATCCAAGATACTCGCATCGCGACCAACGCGACAGGACGACATCAATTGACAACTTGGTGAAATTTTGAGGAAGAGCAAATCCATAGCGAGCGCTGGTTAACGGTTTGTGCGAAATCTTGAGCCACAGGAGAGCACGACATGTACCGCATATGGTACGGCCCGCCTCATTGTCAATTGTCACGGGCTCATCTGATCAGTTATAATTACCCTCGACCACTGGGATTCTCTGATTTTTCTTCCTAAGTCTCTAAACTATCACTGCTATCAAACTTGAACCCGAAACTTGAACCATTGATCGGAACTTAATCCATGGTCGTCCATTCCATCGCGCAACAGGGATTCGGAGAGGGTACTAACGAAGTTTATGACCGGTTCGTACAAGTCATCTTTAATATCATCTTCAAAGTCATTTAATCATGCGTTCTGATACCTGTATCCTTCTGCAGAGCCCGCCCATCATACCAGGCTGTTGTGCTATCTCACATCCGTCAAAGCATTCCTAACTCAGATCTTTCTTCTCCTCTCTTGAACATCGTTGAGATTGGTGCCGGAACAGGAATATTCACCCGGGCCCTTATTGCCCACCCTGATTGGTCTTCGTCTATCAAGGAGATCCGCGCAGTAGAGCCGAGTGCGGGGATGAGAGCCCAGTTTGAGAAGACCGTGATTGAACCGCAGAGTAATACCAACAGTTAGTCCAAAAATAGCTTCCTCTGAACAGGTCATGCTGATTGATCCAACCAATTAGTTAAGATATCTGTAAACGATGGATCCTTCACAGAAACTGGGATTGAAGATGGATGGGCGGATGTGGTGTTCATCGCCCAAGCTTACCATTGGGCCCACCCTGCTTATGACGCCGCCTCTATCGAATTCGCTCGAATCCTCAAACCATCCGGCGTCGTCGTTTACGTCTGGAACCTCGAAAGCCCAGACTCTCCTACTTCTACATGGATCCCCCTTCTTCGTACCCTCTATGAGAAATACGAAGGTGGCTCCCCACAGTTCCGGCTGGGGCTCTGGCGAGCAACGTTTGACCCGAATGTCTGCCCAGGCTACGCAAAGTTCTTTGAAAAGCCGTTGGAGGATACATTCGAATGGGTAATTCCAACGACGGTGGAGGGTGTTGTGGAGAGGGTCAGGAGTAAGAGCTATATTGCGGTGCTGGAGAGAGAGAAGAACGAGGAATATGTGAAGCTCATAGAGAATGTCAAACGATTATTGGGTAAGGAGGACGGCGTAGAGAAGAAGTGGATCGATAAGGAGCAGGGTGTATTTGAATATCCGTATAAAACCACGGTGGTTGTCGCAAGAAAGGAGTAGAGAGGAATGTCTGCAATTGTCCCGTACTATCGATCAAACGTTAACAAGTATCACTTTCCTTTCCTTCCGTCGAATAAGATCAATGCTGGATTTAATGCTGCCCTCCAAACAGGCTAAAATACCGCATTGAAATCCGTCATTGCATTTGCGATTCAAGGTTGTGAGCAACTGTGAGCAAGTTGGCGCGTACCCGAGCATAGTCTTTTGCTGAGGGGAGCTTGTACAATGCATCCGGAAAGGAGAAGGGCGAACGGAGGGTCTGAGCTAGTCTAAGCGATAACTGCGCACGAACCTAAACATATGTTACTATGTATTAGACTCGAACCCAGCAGCCGGAGTGACTCGCTGCGATTTGATGAAGATGGCAGTTTGAAAGTCGAGGTATCGAGACATAAACTAGAGTCTTCGAACGGACACGTGATGCGGTATTCCCTGCTTTCGCTGGTACCGCATCGACACGCGTACGTCGAAGCAGGTCGAAGCCTCGCAGTACCAGTCTCTAGTAGCACCTTTGTTCTTCTTTCCACACCCTCCCACCCTTTTGTCACTCACCCTCGCCCTCTCCCACCCTGAGTGCACGTTCCAACCGCACACCCACAGATCTCCAGTCAAGGTACGTAGTCGCAGTCCGAGCACAATGAGAGCGCACAGCGGCTGGTAGGCCCTCCCGCCCATCGCAGCTGATCGTGTATACCTTTCAGAGTTTCATTGTCTGCTGGGACCCGAAGACCTTCGGCCTTCCCCAACGTGCAAAGCCTTCAGTCAAACATACATAATCATTCAGATGTATTGAATGACATTGTATTGTTCCTATTCAATACTGATGATATCAAACGCATCGCCAGAGTTCAAAGAGGTTTTTCAGCCCGCTTATTCATCGGACAACGCCGAATCAGCGATTGGACGAGTCTAAGTATATCCTTCCGCTGATTTTGCGACAATCCTGTGCATGAATCGGCAGAGCTTGTGTTGGGCTGTGATTTTCTTCAGCATGCCGAACAGTGGGCCGAAGACGTTAATTTTGCCATTGAGTGTAAGGAGGTGCGGATATTTTAGTATACAGCGTTGGCAACTGTTGGCAACTGTTGGCAAGTGCCAAGGACGCCTGATGCGAAGGCGAGTGCACTTGGCAGCAAAGGGCCAAAGGCGACAATTTTTGATGGGCCCTGGTCCCAAATTAGCCGTGGCACGATAAAAAGGACGAATTTTTGACTCCCGGTTTCGATAAGTTGCTGGTCAACTACATTCTCACTGTCCAAGAGAAGACTCAGGAGCTAGTACCTTGCTGTCTACCACCTTCGACCCCTTCTTGTCGTCATATCGTCTTCATCCATACGGGAGCAAAAAATCGCTGTCACAAAATCCTAGGATTTACAATATGCGCGTCGTTCCTCCCTACTTTTTCTTTGCCCTCATCTCTGCCGCATATGCTGCCCCTGCTCCTGTAGCTGTGAGTATGAACTTAAACCCATGTTCGGGGTAGCGGACTTACTGATTGATATGTCTCTTTTACCTAGCCTGCTAGTAGCTTTCCCAACACTGAAGCTGAAGCTTATGCTTCCAACCTTCCCCCTGATCCTCGCACGCTCCCTGAATTACGAGCTTTTTCTGATGTGAGAGCCATTCAGAGATACTTGTTTCTTGCGATTGGACTACTCATGCCTTTCTTGTTTTTCTACTTGTCTAGGTCAATGACAGCATGAAAACTAACTTAGCCTATGGGAATGTACCCTCCGGAACACCTCCCCAAGTACGAGGTACAGCGATCACTCTTGAGCTTGAAGGACGACAACCTGGAAACGACAAGCCAAATATATTCGCAGCCAGCAATTCCTTGGTCAAGACTGTTCGAATTAAGTTCGTGGAACAGTACGATCATGCTGGATCTGGAGCGCCCCAGCGTTTCACAGAGGGCGCGCCAACCTGCGTCGATGAGTTGTTGAAAAGGATAATTGAAATTTGGAAACCAAATGTCCCATTCACTTTAACCTACATCAACAGTTTTTACGAGGTGCTCTCGGACGGATTTGCTGTGCCTCCTACTGAATTCGAGTTTTATGTGTCTGGAATAGGAGACTGCTTTCCGAAGGGAGCTGCTGTGGAAGGAGCCAGATCTCGGCGATCCTGTCATGCAGTCGTTGACTCAAAAAAGATAATTATCAATAGAGAGGATGTGAAGAAGGGAACGTCAATGATCTTCTCACAGGAGCTGCCGAAGAAGTTATGGCGGCCAGGGAATCCAATCGAGGAATAAAAAAAGGAATGTCAACATCTCTTTTGGATTGTGAATAGTATGCTCATTTCTTTATTTTACAGGCCGCGCGCAGTTGATTTCGTTCTGCCGACATGATCTTTGTCGGCGAGGTGCTAGTATAATCAATAAGAAAGGACGCATATGTTTACTTAGTAAAGTTGACTTGGTTGTACATACATTGTACAGTGTCCTTCACACTTCTCACATACTCCGAATTGCGTACTCCTACCACCCTTGTCCACGCGGGCCTTCACATTTAACTCAAGGTGAATACTAAATATCAGTGAGTGTTTATTGACATCTATGGTACACAGTAAGAACCAAGATCAGTCTAAGTTTAATCAGGGGAACTAACAATACACCATATTATATCGCTTGCAGCAGCTATCCGCATCACGGCTTCCCGCTTGCTTGAGAACAAAAACCCGGCTTATACAGCTTACCGTCTGGTTAGAAAAATGAATGCCCCCGATACATGTATGCTTACCCATCCTGGTGCATTCTTTTTTCCGATCGTACTTCGGAAATGAATACATATCTGGCTTTTTTTTCGTTGCAGGTTCTGATCTTCAGTAAGTAGAAGGGAACATTTACAACTGGACTCAGCACGCCATTTTCAGGAAGAGTTAACCGATCTATGGTCCCAATTATGGAAACAGTAGGGATTTGGGGTACTGGACAGGTCGGTTTTGTGTGTGTTTGCCAGGGGTACAAATACTTTGCTAATGCACATCTTGTGCAGTCCCTACTACATTTTCTACATACTCTTATGGCATAATCAAAGCAGGAGTAAAGTTGCCTGAGACTCAACGGGCCCGAGACCTCCCGGGACAGCGACCGATGCTACATCGCACAGTTTCCAGGATCGGCGTTATGTAGACATCAAGTTCCTTGCTCAATTTCAGATATGCGTAAGATGAAGAACGCGCAAGGCATTTGAGTCCTTACAAAGGTTTGCATTGTTCTTGAGCTCTATCTAATAATTCGAATCTGAGTAAGTACGTATGTAATTTGGGTAGGAATATGCTGAGTAAATGCTGAGTAACGTCACCTAAGCTCTAAATATTATTTTCCACTCTGCGTCTCGGCATGGAGGTGTGAGGCATTGAGGAGCGTGAAATTTGCATTGAGAGTTCCATCAAAACCTTTCTCTTTGATGAAGCTCTCCAGTGTATGTCCTGTAGGATGCACCCGCCTAATCCACTCCATGTCCCGAGTTACGATGTCGTTGCCCATAAGAGTATACACCCCACGATATGTGTCTCCTATAGTATACCCATCTGGCTCTCCGCTTACCATGGGTCTAGTGAAGCGACCGGGATAAGTAGCTAGGTATTCATCAATAGGTATGCGTTTGTGAATGGCAGGGATCCCTGTCACTCGGGTAAATGTTTTGACCATTTGTTCAGCAGTCGCCATCTCAGTCGCAATTTTAAGCTCTTGGCCAGAGGTTTCTAAGCGGTGATCAAAGGTGTACCGGGCCCACCAACCAATATCTTGGAGACTGATCAAAGGGATGTGACCATCTCCGGTGGGAAGTGCCCAGACCAAGACACCGTTCTCGCGCTTTGGCAGGGGACCCAGGAGTGGCTAGAAAGATATATACTCAAATTCATAACTGAAAGTCAATTGAACGGCGAAGAGCTTACGCCGAAAAGGTTTTCTAAATATGGGCCAGTGGAGATTATCGACCATGTTAACGAGTCTCCGTCCGGGCTTGACGGCTGCGATCGAAGAAATTCGCCGACGATACCTTTCGCATCGAAATGGAAAGCTAGTCGATACTTTGGATCAAAATTACCGAGCTGGAGGTAGAAAGAAAAGAACAGTCAGTCAACGTTGCTTCAACTTTGTACTCGAGGCTTTAATACCACGAACCTTACTAGCATAATCAAGCCCACTCCAGATGAAATGTTTTATGTGCGCACGACGTGCTTGTTCATACAACTTGATACCGGCGTAGATTTCGATTCGTTGACCGACGGTAAAAGAGTCTATGTTGACATAAACGCCATAGCATCCTTCGAATGCGGGGGTGATACTATCCAGGCTCTCGTCTATTCGGCCTAACAAGGATAGGGTGAATCATAAAGTGAAGTGCGCTTAAAAAGATGTGATACCTTTGAATAGTTCAACCCCCCAAGAGGAGAGGACTTGGGCTCGTTCACTGGTTGGGTCTCGGGTCAGTGCTCTAATTGACCATGGAGACGGGGTTCCATCAGCTTGCGGTGCTAATAATGAAGAAATCACTGTTCTTCCTTGGACACCAGTCGCACCAATGACGAGGATAAGCTTCTTGACTGACATCTCTAATGGATGTCCAAAATACCATCTTGAAGCAATATTTATACCCTTCGGCGACTGTTCAATGCAAATAATCCGATTAGTGTTGAAGCAAAACTTGTGGTATGGGACGGTACGAAACAGCACGCACCTCACAATGTCTCAAAATACTCATCTCCACTTCCATACATTCAAAGTACCGGTATCAGTACATAATTCCGAGTTCATCTGTTATTAGATGAGATGCTCAGAGTTACTTTGGTGGCCATGTCAATCATAAATCTTTGCGATGCTCACCTTGGTCCTTGCGGGGTACGTAAAAATTCCGCTTCAGTTCGAGAAACTGCCTTGACATTATTTTCTATTGTCACGGTCTTCATGAGTGGTAGGCTACAGCTTATTAACGCCAGGATAGCACGGGATAGGATGGGTTGGCATAGGAGAACTTCAATTCAAATGACATCGTCAGTGCTTGTTAATTGAGTGGCAATGTCATACGTGGTTTTGTCATAAGAAGTTGGGCTTCTCGAGAAACTGATTGGTTGGAGGATTCGGTCAGAAGCTAAGACGTTTGTACCCGAGGTAAGAATTGTGCATTTAAATCTATGGTGATTCGAGCAAGAATGATTGCAATAATGTAAACTGCAATTTTGAGCCGAGGACAAAACCAAGAATAACAGTGAATAAGTTATTCGAGTGAGCTTATATGTATACCTAGATATTATTCTTTGTATATGATAGTTAGTATCAGTATATGAGAAGGTTTTGCCTGGGGGCGAAGCCCCGCGCGGGTGGGCAACACGCCGCTAAACGGAGACTTCTGAGCCCGGAGTATCTGAACTGTGGTAGCTTACCCGTCAGACACTGAAATAAAGAAAGGGTGGGAGGGTGGGATTACGACGAAAGATGGGGTTGTGAGATGTAATGCGATGAGTGTCGTGAGTGAGAACGGACGAGCGCCTAATAACACTCATCGCCACTCCTTATCTTATCCTATGATAAGCCAACCTACGGTTGACTTATCTCGGAATAAGTTATTCGAGTGAGCTTATATGTATACCTAGATATTATTCTTTGTATATGATAGTTAGTATCAGTATATGAGAAGGTTTTGCCTGGGGGCGAAGCCCCGCGCTCCCACCCGTGAATGAGGAGAGTGCGAATCACCCAGACAGAGCCGAGGCTCCTTCCCAGCACACTCCGAATAACTATTGGAGTTGTACCCCGAATAGAGCTGAGGACTCTGATTATTAACTGCCAAAATTATGTGTATTTTCTGTGTGCAAAAGGAAGTATGAGAGTTTAAGTATCGTCCGAAACGTTGGTAATATCTAAACCAGCCATACAAGCAGTGATAAGCTCGTTACTAACTTTATTCTTCTTTCTATATTGCTCTATGTTGTCCGAAATAGCATCTATTTGAGTCCGTGAATAAGCCTTCGCCAGATGTGTTGGGATGATGTGTTCCATACGTCTCCAATATAGAAGAAAAGCCAGTGAGGTCCAACCTCCGATCATTGCAACCACCTCTGGCGAAACACCCGCGAGAAGGAGTTCGACGGCTCCTCCGATTCTGAAACTATGGCCCAAGACATGACGCATTGCCGCTCGTTCCCAGACGCCATAACAGAAAGTGAGAAATGTATGTTTAATCATATTTTGAGGGATTCCTTTGTCGTCGATATAGGCAAAGAGGGAGAAATCATCGGGTACTTTGTCGTTGACCTGCAAGTGCTTTGCAAAAGCATCATATGCACATACAACATCTCCGCGATATGTTACAACCACGTTCGTACCATCTTCGCGAGTGGACTTTGACCAAGGCAGCTGGATATGGAGTGAAGGATTACCCCCGTGATCGTTCCAATTAACGTTCTTCATGTTTCGTGACACGTGAAACTTAGGATCGAAAGCGTTGCGTGAAGGGATAGTGAGCTCTCCGAGTCGGCGGCATCCCCAGAAAGTGACCAAAGCCAAGGCCCATATAGCACAATGGAATGTGTTTGAAGTATCTAGGGCGCGGAATAGAGCTAATAAATGGGCGAGTGTAATAGGGTGTCGTATGGGTCGTTTGTGGGCTGTTCCTTCCTTCTTTGCTGCCTTCCGAGCCATCCTTATTTCTGGTGAATCGTTCGGCCATTGAGCACCTGAATACTCGAACCATGCACGCAAACCCGAAAGCCAGTTCTTGATACAACTGCCTGAAACCTTACCCATATGATGGCCGACAAAGCCTGCGATAAGCATGGGATGGGCGGGCATACGATCCTCTTCTGGAATTTCCCTAGCATCGCAATATTGATTGAAACGTAAGGGGCCCGCCGCGTATGAAGCTAATGTGTTCGGCGCCAGGGACTTCTGCATAGCGTTATGTGCATCATCGATAACTGATAGTGGGAGGGATTCAGATAAACGTTGTCGGTTTTCAACTGCCCAGGGAGACGTCCAGGTGTGTAGTCGTTTGGTAGCCAGAGAATGTTTTCGTAAGTCGGAAGGCCTGTATTCGCGTCCAGGGAGAGGGTGACGTGGGGTCGGTGTAGGATTTGGGTCGTTCTTTGGGGCCGTTGGACATGTAGAAGGGATATAGGGAGTAAGGAATGTTGGGATAATAGGTGCCGTAGGTTTGGGATTAGTATGGATATGTGGTAATATTGGAGCAGCGGGCACTCGCGGAAGAACCTTGCTCGCGCTAGAATCGGCTAGCGCAAATTCTGGTGGCAGCCTAATAAATTTGACAGGTTGTTCGTCAGAATGTTCATAACGAGATAATATATGGGCTTTCAATACCTAAACATAAACGAGAATATCATCTAGCTCCTGCGGGAGCATAAAAGCAAGTGGGAGTTTTTTATCCGCCGGACCCAATATTCCGCGAGATAAAGGGTCGGCTGGATTCTCCGCTGATTGAACGTATTCGAATTTTGGTTGTATGAACAAAGGACCAATAACACCACAGATACGTCGTACCGAAGTATTGATCCAGAAATTTGGGCTGCGTGCTTTGTTAAGTGCGCCGATTGCGCCCTTGTTGTCTGAATGAATAAGGATATAGGTGTCGTGGTAATGCATGGCTTCAAGATAGTATATGATAATTTCAATAGCAATTGTCTCTAACCAGCAGATATCGCGTCCTGGGAGCTTCCAATCTGTAGTAAGCCGGAAAGCTGCCCAAGTATGACCAACCATAACTCCAATACCCCAATCAGTGGATGCGTCAACGTATATGCCTAAATCTAGCAGCTGGCTCAACATTCGCAGTTCCCGATAATAAAAAGGATCTTTGAGACGTTCTTGCCACCACTTGATTTCTGTAAGGAGTGCAGGTGTTGGGAAACGTCCGGCGGAAGCTTCGCGTTCGCCCCGGTATGTAGCCATGAAGTTTGATATGGGAGGGAGATGTGAACGGCCGTCAGGATGTAAGAAAGCAAGATGACATAGGGTGCCGTGTAGGGATTCTAGTTCGGGTAACGGGGTTTTCCGGCCGGTGAACTTTTCAATAAAGATTACGAGTCGGTGTAGGTATTTGATTCGTTTAGGTTCTGGTAAACTAACCCGTCGGTTATCGATATCCCAACAAAATCCAATGAACGTGACAATAGAAACGAATAGTTTGTCGCCTTTGAGGGGGTGCCATGGAACACCGAGCGGTCTAATTATGTCTAGCATTTGTTCGCGGTCATATGGATATGTACCGTCTTTAAGGGGCACCGAAAACACTGCGAAATCATCTTCTATTTTCTCCACTGGATGTACCCCTCTGGCTTTCCAGATATCCCGTACCGCTGCGGAGACCTGTCCCGAGTTGCTACTAGCTGAGGAAAGTCCAAAACAATGCACGTTCTCAAACCAGAAATGTCCATGATTGTCGCGTACTACCAGATATGGTTTATGATGAGGGAGGACTGGAATAGTCCTATGGAATTTTTCGACATCGAGTGTAAGGGCCTTAGTATCTAGAGGTGCTGATGCGATCTGCGAATATTGAAATCAGTCATAAATCGTATGTTCGTGGCATAACACCAGAAATAATTGCACAACGCCGAAAATAATATATTGGCATAACGCCAGGAATAATATATTGCCATAACGGCGATAAAATATATATTGCCATAACGGCGATAATGACAGGGCATAACACCCAATGTCGTTGAATCATAAATAATATAATTTGGACCGTGAATTGAAGTCGAGTACTACAGACTAATTAGTTTGAAGTGGGATGAAAGGAAACTCACTATATCTGCAACCTCCGAAGTTGAACTGAATGTTGTTGGAAATATTGTCTTCTCAATATAAGAATTCACTGAAGGGACCACTGTCCTCTTTGAATCCCTACCATCTTTTGAGAGGTTACGGCAAACGCGGAATTTCGGGGGAATGCCAGGTCCTTGTTCTGATTTCGAAACGATGAATGGGGAAACGCGGAAATGACCTCTGCAAATAATAAAAATTTCGTCGTGGGTGAAAGGCCCATCCATACGACCTGCGGCGACTTCTTCGGCAATATATTGGTCAACTACTTGAGGGTACTGCAAAACGCTCGGGTGATTGGGTGTAATAATCGTTTCTGTGAGGGGCGGCATAACTCCGATAGGAAAACCTTGGCGAAGATTTCGAACTAAGAGAGGATGGGAGCTGGTGAGATTACATTCTGAAAGCATTCGTTCAAAAGCGTCGGCGTTGTAAGGAGTCACGATCTTGTTGTATAGTTGAATCAAATGAGCTGGTGTATTTGGCAAAGGTTTTCGTTCGATAACCACTGGAGAAAAATCATGGAATAATAATCTGGGGTATACGGAAGACTGGGAGAAATGATCAAGCGGAGAAATATTTACACTTCCCTGCGTGGTGGTCCTTACTGCCGCAAAGGGAGCAAACATGGAGGTATGTACATGACGCGGAACAGCGGGAAGCTGCCAGGTTCCAGGGGATGCAGATACGCTCGGCTGCTCGGTCGGGTGTGACCAGACTGGTGTTGTTGTACCTAGCCCAGAGTAATGGTCCCTGTTTACCGTCTTTGTGTTCACCCAATTTATGACCCCGTTGACCACATCCGATGCAGCAAGGTCCGGGGTTGTTGGCCTTACTGCCCTGCGGAAAGGGCTGGTTGGAATAGGAAGGGGGAGAGGTGTTCGAGGTTGTGTTGGATTGGAAAGGATAGGAATGCCACGATGATCCTCCGCGGGCTTTGGCCATCGTCTCCTCGAACTCGACTCTGCTCTCCACCTTGGTCCATTCCGAGTCGTACACTCCCTGTACGAAACCGGTGAATTCCAGGTATTGTTCATTCCTGATTCGGAGTTCCGCTGGCTTCCAGGAAGTGTAGAGCTTGGCTGTATGACGTTTATTGAGGAAAAATGAGAAATGCTGAATGGTAAATTGAGCTCGTGAACCGGCTGGGCCCTCTGGGTCGCGACTCGTTTCGAATCTCATGTAATTATTGACGCACTCCACGAAAAGGATGTAATCAAGTCCTTCGAGCCGGTCTTCCTCAGCGTATTTTATACGTAGAAGTTTCTTTAGGGCTTCGAGGTCGATGAAGTAACCGCTTTTCCTGGTATCGTTTGACTTATATTTCCTCCGTGGAAGGGAATGTGCCCGAGCAGAGATGAATTGGAGGGAGTCGTTACTGAAGAACGGTAACGGTATAGGAGAAACATGAGCGATTTCGTATAATGCGTCGTGGAAGTTCGCTTGGAAAGGGACTAGTGGATTCTTCGTCACCAGGACCAAGGGTTCGGCCAGTCTTCTCTTTTTCTTCTTTTCTTCCTCTGCTTCTGTGCTCGTATCCTCCTCTCTCTCTCTCTTGTCCTTTTCCTCCTGATACTTCCGGCTCTCCATCCATTCTAATACGAAATCCGGGATCAGGTGCTTCAATGAGTCGAAACGGAATGGGTTAGTGCGGATTTTCTCCCATTCTTCTGGCTGGATAGTAAGTTCCGAGGTGACTGGTGATGGTGCCCTGATATTCTCCGGATCCCTAAGATGTGCTGCCCGTTGTAAGTCACGACGAATATTGTTTGCATTGTTCTGTTTGTTGAACGTGAGACGCGTCGTTACATCCCAGGAAGCAAACATGTTGCGAGCCTCGGCGCTACTGTGGGTTATATGCACTCTGTCGGGGTTCTGTAACGTCGGACGGCTTCGTAAAGGGAGCTGCATTGTTGTATCCGAAAGTTACGACGAAAGATGGGGTTGTGAGATGTAATGCGATGAGTGTCGTGAGTGAGAACGGACGAGCGCCTAATAACACTCATCGCCACTCCTTATCTTATCCTATGATAAGCCAACCTACGGTTGACTTATCTCGGAACAACGCATGACGAAAGAGTTTCCGCAAAAACGAACAGATTTCTCTATCCACCCTGTTCCCCACCCTGCCCTTCCTGATCATTACGATGCATGAATGACTGTATCATATCCATACTCAATTTTTTTCCTCCTACCCCCCAGGGCCAACGACTCCACCCATTTGTGGTTGCGGTCCAGATTTTCCTTGTCTTGGCATCATTCCCTGCATCCCTTGCGGCGACGGCTGAGGCGCAACAGCCGCTGCCGTCACGTTCGGACTCACTTGTCCCATACTACCCATCGCCATATCCCTCGGATGTCCTCTACCACCCTGTTCCATGAGCTTCTGCATCTGTAGCGCGGCTTCAGGTGGTAAGCTCGATGGGATTGGGAGTCCCGATGTCAGGTTGGGACCGGATCCGTCAATAACGGGATTAGTTGATGTGCTCGAAGCCGCGGTAGACGAAGCACCGATAGAAGAAGGAGCGGTAGAAGTAGCGTTTTTTATCGGAAACCCTTTGGGTTTAGACTTCGGGGAGGGTTTGATAGCAGAGGGTTTCAGCGAGAGTTTTGAAGGTGACTTTGAAGTAGTTGATGATGATGGGGCGGCGGGTGCACCAAGTCGAGCTAAGGCAAGGATGATTTGGACTCGGAAAGCACAGATGGAGATTTGGAACGAGTAGACGAGTTAGAAGTCGAGGGGAGGAATCAGATTCTTTTCTTTCCTGAAAAAAAGAAGGCATGGTGGCAGTGGTAATTGTTACACAAGAGTTAGACTCGAACCAGTCTGCTGCTGAGAAGCGATATGCGGAATCACTTTTTCGGCAGAGAGACTGGAACTTGGGTTTTTATCACGTGCTTCTTTTGACTTCAACAAAATTTCGAAAATAGGTGTGTCCTGAACATCAATTTTAGAAAAATGTAAATAGAGAGAAAGTTGTACATTACTTTCTCAATGAATGGGTTTATTACCATTTTTTGAAATTTAAGCTCATTCTTGAGATATTGAGCAATCTTCATATGAGATGACATCACATGTTTCCATCAATGTGCATGCCTGGGAACAATAAGTTGACTGTGTTATAAAGATCACTCAATATCTCAAGCACAAGCTCAAATTTTAGCAGATAGTAATAGACTCGTTCATCAGGAGGGTGATGCACAACTTTCTCTCTATTTACATTTTGTTGAGCAGGCAAGGAGTGCGTAGTGAGGACACTCTCCAGCACCATACCTGGTAGTAGAGTTTAGTGTCTCAGTGAGGCAATAAAAGTAAGAGAGAAGCGAGTTGGATTCCAGTACAGGATATGGCCTGTTTATATACATAACTGTATGACAGTATTACATAAGGAAGTACAGAGGAATCCGCATATAGTAAATGACTAGATATGACTACATATGACATATTATAACACATGATCATAATAGTGGCATGTGAACAGCATAGCCGCGTTCAACACACCCCCTTGCTGAGCAGCACAGTAAAGTACTTTGCTCAAAGCAATAGCGGTAGGCGTCAGACAGGACAGACAGCCTAAGGATTGGTGGACGAGTAGAACTCAAGTCCAAGCATTGAGCGGAATAGCTCAAATTTGATACGCCCAAGATTCTTTGTGAAAAGATCTGCAGGGTTGTTACTACCATCTACGAAGAATACTTGCACAAGGCCACGTTCGACAACTTCACGGATATAATGATACCGGATGTCAATGTGTTTCGAGTGCTTGCTAGTGACAGGATTTGATGCCATGAAAATGGATCCTTGATTGTCTCCAGCAATAGGAATAGCGTCAAGTTTATAGCCTAGTTCTTCAAGTAGATTACGGATCCAAACCACTTGACGGCTGCAATCAGACAATGCCATATACTCAGCCTCTGTAGACGAGTGAGCAATTGTCTTCTGCGCATGGCTGGTCCAAGAGAAGATGCCATTGGCAAGCTTCATGAAAAATCCAGTCTGTGACCGGCGTGTATAGGGATCGGAAGCCCAATCCGAATCAGTCCAAGCGCTGAGACCAATACCCGATTCACCGTCATAGCAAAGTGCATATGATCTAGTACCTAGGAGGTAGCGGCAAATATAGAGTGCCTTGTTAAGGTGCTCTTGAGATGGGTTAGCTGCATGTTGTGCAAGCTTGGTAACAGCAAAGGAGATGTCAGGACGTGTGCCCAACATAAGGTAGAGAAGGGAACCAATAACCATTTGGAACTTGCTACGAAGAGCGGAATTCGATTGGCCTTTGGTGGGTTCGGGTTGGAACCCTGCAGGAAGTGGTGTATCAGCCATTTTAGCATTTTCCATCCCGCAACGCTTAAGGACTTTGTCAAGGTAGGCGCATTGATCAATATAGGCCGACTTGCATGTCTTCGCCACTGCAACCGATGAAGGTGCGTTAGTATATCCCATATGGTCAAGATCAGAGGAGGGTACTGACCCCATGGTGTCCATGAATCCAGTGATTGCCAAAATTTCACGATCCAAGTCGAAGTTCATCAACTTATCAGGGTCGAAAGAGGCAGTTCCTGGGACCTCAAAGTCCATAGGAGGAGATGGAGGAGGCGGCGTAGGAGCCTTACTGCCATTCTCAACATCATCCACAGGAGACATTGCACGAGTGCGCTTTGTTGGAGGATCAAGTTCATCATCACTGTCCAACTCCGAAATATGCCCAGCTGGCTCAAGGGTGCGAATGACTTCGGCAGTCGCACGGACACCAATGTCACGGGCACGTTTGATGGCCGTCCTTGTCTTCTTATGAAGATGAAGGGACGTAGCATTAGGAGGAGGGTTGTAAGGAGGATGGATGGAGTGCTTGCGCACATCTTGAACAGAAGGAGTAAGATCAGTACGTACCGGACCAAAGTCAACAGTACTGCCAATCGGACTGAAGTCCATAGAGTCTGCATCAGCTTGGGCAGCGTTTGCATTCTTCTTAGCCTTCTTGTTCTTTCCACTGCCACGCTTACGCTTCTTCTTGTTGTCATCGTTCCCATTCTGTCCCTTCTGCTGCTGGTTACTACCGTTACCATGCTGCTGTTGGGAGAACTTGGGATCGTTTCCTTTGCGATGAACGTTCGAAAACTTGTTCGCGTTCTGCGGTTGGGAGTTGCCAATGGTGTCTCCGCTGAAAGCATTCATAACTGCGATACGAACTTTAGCAAAGGTCAATTTCTTGAGCTCTGCAGTTTCAAGCTGAGACATGGTTTGGATAACGACAGAGTAACGTGATGGGAGCTTAGATAAAAGAATCAAAGCTTCGAGGTGGTCAGCAAGACCAATGCCAGCTTCATCCATACGGGTGAAGTACATGCCAATCTCCATCATAGAGGACAGCGGATTTTGCTTGTATGGAATTTTAATAGCCATAGCGGCAGCAAAGTCATTAAAGACTGCGCCCAGACTCTTGACATTGTAAGTCTTGGCTAGATAGTTCCAAAGCTTCTTAGCTGTGTCGCTGTATTCCTTGGCAAGGATGCGGATGGAGGGAGAGATACGGAGGCAAATGTTACCAATAGCCTTGGTGTCGATCTCCTTCCAGGCTTTGAAAACAACCTCATAGTTCTTCCAGGCTTCAACACTGGCGGCGTTTGCAGCAACAAGTGGAGATGGTTCACTGGGTTGGTCAGTCGTAATTGCTGATTCAAGCCCTGTAGCCTGAAGGAAGGCTTCCATTTCGGAGGCCCAGGTGTCGTAGTTATCACCTTTGAGGGTGGTGGTAACAGCGGTAAACAGTGCAGAGGACATTGCGATCTGGATAAAATCAACAGAAAATGTCAGCATGCAATTCATAAACGCTCAATGACAACAGATGGAAACAAAATGGCATGAATGTTATTGCCAGTAGTGACAAGCTGTCATCTACAGTGTCAAGCACTCTTGGGTGATGTCATAATCAGCACTGTTAAGTGCGATATTGACTTCAGCACCAGAGGCGACGTTCCAGGTAAAGGTCTGTGTCAGAGACAGCAATCAAATAGATGCGTCAATGACAACAGTAGACCAGAGAGCGCTGCGAGCTTAGAGCTCAGCAAAGCGTTCATCCGGGGCCCATAACCTGTTGAGCAGGCAAGGAGTGCGTAGTGAGGACACTCTCCAGCACCATACCTGGTAGTAGAGTTTAGTGTCTCAGTGAGGCAATAAAAGTAAGAGAGAAGCGAGTTGGATTCCAGTACAGGATATGGCCTGTTTATATACATAACTGTATGACAGTATTACATAAGGAAGTACAGAGGAATCCGCATATAGTAAATGACTAGATATGACTACATATGACATATTATAACACATGATCATAATAGTGGCATGTGAACAGCATAGCCGCATTCAACACATTTTACTAAAATTGATGTTCAGGACACACCTATTTTTGAAATTTTGTTGAAGTCAAAAGAAGCACGTGATAAAAACCCGACCTGCCAAAAGTGCCGGATTAAAAACCAGTCACTTTGCTGACACCTTTGAGCGCCAGTTTCCAAAGTGTCAACATCCGAAGCTACTGGCTTGAGTCTACACAAGAGTGCCCTTCGTTCACATGGCAAGATTTACAATTTACAGTTTTCTACAGTCTATCTACAGACAGGAATACATACCTGAGTACTGATATGTACAGTCAGATCTACAGTAATTTTTATCAAACACGCGAGTCCAATGTTCTTCCTATTTTCTTGCGCCAAATTCAAGGAATTGGGCCAACTTGGGATCCTCCATCATCGTCAAATGCCCACCATTCACATCAAACCTCTCAAAGTTCTTTGCAGAACGTTCAGTGCCAAGCATCTCCCAGCTGGCATCACCATTTGGGAAAAGGGAATGTGCACCACTCTGTCTGGGGAGCACTAGTTGCATAGAAACTGTGACACGGGCGGCCCACTCGAGCCTTCATACACTGTTCAAGGGCAGCAGGGTCGCGAAGAATCTTTTCATTGTTGCCCGCTAATGTGAAGAATAGGTCGAGCACACCCAAACCAATGCCAGAAAATGCACAGTGCTGTTGTTTGATATGATCGTGAGCTGGGAGACCATTGTGAGCATCCCAAATCTATGCACAGGAAGATCATTAATAAGAGCGGCTTGAATGAAAGTGGATCATACCTCAGTAATGACAGTCTTTGCCCCCTCATTGGTGTCTAATTCAGTTATTCAGTCCATAAGGTGAATGCCAATACCGATTACATGTTAAAGTCATGACTGAAAACAAAGTGACCAGACTGGGAATTCAACCCAGGACCTTCTGGTTATATTCCAGATGCTCTAACCAACTGAGCTATCCGACCATGGTTCAATTAATGAGGCTTATGCATGGGAAAGTGCCTCGTGCCTTGGCAGCTACCTTGCCTGGGGCTCAAATGATGACAAGGATAATGCAGTACTTTCATAATTTTTTGTTGATGGTACATATACCTACATACTATTTGATATCTAATTTCTAGTGACTTGTTTTTCAGTAGGATAAGACAGATGAGGCAGGCAGCTTTCATTTCCTCAGAGAAGTGCAATTGAGGTGGTGGAACAAGCACCATCATATCAATAATGTTGGTATTATAAACTGTTGAGGTATACTCCATATGATGACACGTACAAGACAGCTTACATTATACTGTACAGTACATAGGTATAGGCCACACGGAGGTCGTAGGATCCTGTTAAGATCATGTACACCGTGTAACCGTGCCAAGGCCACAGGGTGTCTAAGTGCGGAAGACGAATGGGACAGTAGTGAAGTTATTAACAACACCGCCGTTACGCCGTTAGTCCCCAGAGAGCGAGAGTAGAGAGAGAGGAGCTAAGTAGCAGCCAGGTCGGAGCGGCGGTATCGCCGATGACGAGGAGCGGACCAGAGAACGTCAAAGTCCTAAGGTCGAGGAGAACGTACTTCGAGGCGTTGAGCCTGAAGACTTAGAGAAGAGTTAAGTTGAGAAGGGAGATCTAAGTTGATCTAAGTTGATAATTAAACTGAGGAACTACAGTAGCGTACAGGCAGTATTTATATCTACGGATCGGCGCAGCGGTGCGGAGCGCCAGACTAACTACTAGGAGCTATACGAGTAGTACCTGCAGGGTAGAGTAAAAGACAATAAGAAGGGACTAGAACGAAAGGGTATGTGTAGCGAGAAAGAACAATAAGAGTGAGATAACAATAAGGAGCAGATCTTCGGAATCCCGAGCGGCGGAATGGAGGCCCGCGGCATGGACTTGACAGTATCCCCCTCTTAGG